GAGTGCACATGCCCTATGAAAAAAAACTAAAAAAAAGGGGGGGGGGGATTGTTTGCATTTTTGTCAATAAGAGATGGCCCCTAATTTTCTTGTCAGATTTGGTATCAAGGTTATACTGAAATAAACATGAATTAGGAAGTATTTATTTTCTTCTTTGGAAAAGCTTATGTAATTTGAAGTTATTTCTTAAATGTTTGGGTGACAACTCTTTCGAGTTTTTTGGGGATTTTCTGTTTGGTTTTGGTTTAGGGTATGTGTGCTCACCAGAGAACAATGGGAGAGAGTGAGAAATCACTCCCCCAGGTGGGATGGCCATGCCACAGTCCCTTCTCCATTCTCCTCTTGGATTTTGGGCATACATGCGCACATGCCAGCATGATTTTCAAGCCACTGGGCCTGAGATCAAACTGCAGTCAGACATGTGGGATCCAGCCTCCTTCGCCTCCACCCGGCCTGCTTGCCCCAGGATGATAATTCTTTGCCTTAGAAGGAGTGCCGTGGAACACGTTTTGGAAAACGCTGGTCCAGGGCATGACTTGAACACGAATTAGTCCGTTCCTGTTGGTGGGAGTGCTCTAGTCTCTGTCGTTTCCTGCCTCTGCAGCACCGGCTACTTCGTCTTTTCCTTTCCAGCTGTGTGTGGCTTGGCTCAGTGACTGCACAGCAGAGCAGTGAAGCCACTGGAGGCCTGTGCCTGGCCTGCAGGACTCTACACTCTCTCCCTGCCACCAAGCAGCCTCTCAGCTGTGCTCTGTCATCTCCACACTCCTGACAGAATGAACGCCCTCGACGGTGTCCCCTTCAAGGTGCCCAAGAGCTTCATGGTAGGCATAGAGCCTCTCCCTGCACCAGACTTCAGTGTCCCCGCCTGCAGGGAGCTTCTGCTGGGCTCGATGGTGAGTGTGTGTCTGTCCATCTCCCTGTTTCCCTGTCCCTGGATCTGGGGATCTGAAGCTCAACCCAGGGGGCCTTGTTCCTTCACTTTAAAGAACGAAACCTTCCCATGTATAGTCTGGAGAGGTTAGAAATAACCCAACAGAACAAAAGATGTTTGTGGAGAATGTTGGTGGCTGGGTGATAAGGGATGTTTAGTGGGTCTTGTTTTTTTGTTTTTAGGGTTTTGCCATAGGGTGTGTGCACTTGCCAGAGAGACAGAGAGACAGTGAGAGGGAAAGTAAGAAATCACCCCCGAGGGGGGATGGCCATGCCACAATCCCTTCTCCTCCATTCTCCTCTTGGGATTTTGGGAATGCACACACATGCGCCTGGTGTGTCTTTCAAGCTGCCTCAAATCACAGGATCAGCCATGTGGTATCCAGCCACCTTCCCAGTCAGGGAGTCACTCTAGAGTGGCTAAAGTATGCTCCTCTCCCCAAGCTAGGGTTGTGTGTGTGTGTGTGTGGGGGGGGAGTCAGTAATCTAAATATCTGAGCGTCTATATCTGTTTGTCCCTCTGCCTACCTGCAACCTCCCTGACCCCACATGCCACTTCCTTGAGCTGTTTTCTTCTTTATTTGGCCATTGAAACTGCCTTATTTTTCTTTTTACAATTTTTTGTTATAGGCCACGTGCACTCACCAGAGAGAGAGAGAGAGAGTGATAAAGAGAGAAATCACCCTCCGGGGGGACGGCCACGCCAAATCTCTTCTACTCCATTCATTTCTTAGGATTTTGGGCATGTGTGCACGTGCACCTGGCATGATTTTCAAGCCAGTGGGGCCAGGACTCAGACTGCAAAGCTGGCCATGTCGGATCCAGTCCCTTAACCTCCATGCCACCTGCTGGCCTAAAACTACATTTTTTTAAATGTTTATATTTTTAGTGGATTTTTGTGTTTTAGTGGATTTTTGTGTTTTCTCTTCTTTTTATTTTTATTTATTTATTTATTTATTTATTTATCTATTTGCTATAGGGTGTGTGCATTTGCCGAGGAGAGAGACAGAGACAGAGAGGAAGAAAGTGAGAAATCCCCCATGGGGGATGGCCACACCATAATTCCTTCTCTATTCTCCTCTTCGAATTGGGGCACACATGCACATGTGCCCAGTGTGATTTTCAAGCTGCCAGGATTTGAATCATGCAGTCATGTGGGTTCCATCGCCTTAACCTCCACACCACCCGCTGGCCTAACAGGAATATTTTTACTGCGTGTGTAAATTCCAAAGTAGATTATTTATATGGGCTTCAGTCTGCTTAGTAGGTGGCTCAATATGTAGTGGAAAAGGCATTCTATACAGCTTAGCTGCCCACCACCCATCTGTCCTCAAACGAACTCAGTTTTCTGAGCCTCATTTTCTTCATCTGGGGATAGGAATGACACTAGAACCTAGCAAATATAATTCAACCAAGATGAGCAGTGGTTACATTTCCTGGGCTCCCAGCACCCCAGAGAGCAGCCGAGGCACTGTCACTGACAGGGAGGCCTGCATGGCTGATGGTCCTCCAAGGCCACTACTCAGCCGCAGTCTGCTGGGCTCAGGCGAAAGCCTTTTTTGCTAAGAACTAGTTTTGTTTCTTTTTATTTTAAATGTACAAGGTGTGTGTGCTTGCTGGAGAGAGAGATAAAAAGGGAAAGTGAGAAAGCAGCCTCTGGGGGATGGCCACGCAACAATCCCTCCTCCTCCACTCTCCTCGGGATTTGGGGCATGCACACACACATGCTCAGTGTGTGCCACCTGCACAAGCCGCCAGGTCTTGCACTCAAACCATGCAGTCATCCACGAGGTACCCAGTTGCCCTAAGTGCCATGCCACCCACTGGCCCATTAAGAACAAGTTTTATTGGTGACTATTTTTTTTTTTTTGGAGGGGTTTTCACTATAGGGCGCGTGTGCTCACCAGAAAGACAGAGAGAGACGGAGAGACAGAAAGCGAGAAATCACCCCCCAGGGGGGATGGCCACGCCGCAATCCCTTCTCCTCCATTCTCCTCTTGGGATCTGGCCTACCATGAGTTTAAGCCACTGGGTCCAGGACTCGAACCATGGTCGACTACATGGGAGTCCAGTGATGTAGCCATTACCCATCTGTTGGTCCCATGGGAGATTACATACTGAATGGGGAAAGGAGTTAGATACTAGATTTCACATTTCATTCTATTAACATCCCTCCCTTTTGTCTTTCATAACTCTTGTTAGTACTCATGACCACTGGGATAGCTTTTAGCTTTTAGCGTGGAGGTGGGCAGTGATGGAGGCCAGAGCTGTGTGGACCTGGATGGAGTCTGGCTCAACAGGATACCCTGAGGCCAGGGTTTAAGGGTACCCCCCCCATGTCTCCCTCTCTCCCTAGCATGACTTCAGCCTGGAGAGGAGGGCACTCTTCTGGGTGGAGGCCGTTGTCCAGGGACCCTCCCCGCCCCAGGACAGTGGCCCGGAGACAGCGTCAGCCCCTCCGGCCTGGCTTTTGCTGGTCAGCCCGGAACAGTGGCTGGCACCTGTTACTGCCTCACCTGAAAACCCAGTCGCCAGACCCCAGCAGCAGCCCCAAGAGGAAGAGGAGGAGGAAGAAGGAGAAAAGGAGGAGGAAAAGGAGGCGGAGGCCAAGGAAGAAGCCGCCGCCTCCAGCGAAGAAGAGCCAGCGCCCTGCAGCCCGCTGCCTGGCCCCCCTGTGAGCCCTGGCCCCAGCCACCGCCGGGGCTCGCTAGATGTGCTGCGTGGCATGAGGTCTGAGCTGGCCGAGGCGCGGCGGCGGCTCTCCGAGGGCAGGCTGGTTTCCTGTCCCCGTGCCCTCTTGCACCGCTTCCGTGGTCACCGGTCGCTGAGCGTGTCCCAGAGTCCCGCGCCACCCCTGCGCCCCACGCCCCAGCTCTCCAGCGCCCCAGCGTCGCCCCCGCGGCCGTCCCCCGCCGGCGCC